AGTCTTTGATGAAGAAATCAAACTCAAAAGCTTCATGAGAATGTCATACAAATCAGAAATCTGGATTGAGGATTGATGCCAAGGTTGGAGATCTGACACTCTGTTGGCTATCTGAGGCTCATGTAGATTGGAAAATATGTTATACAGATGGTAATTTGAAATTTTACTGTCATTCAATCAGCATTTGATACATTAGCAAAACTTTCTTCAATTTCAGAACTGAAAAAAATGTTTTACTTTATATGGCAGTTTTTGATCCCCTTGGACTATAAGCTAAAAGCAAGCTGAGGAAAATTTCAATGTGAAAGGGAATATGCAGATTTTACATTGCATGGTACTTCAAATTTGAATGAGTTCAGTCAGTCTTACTTGCAGATTTTACCACCTCTTTCAGTTTCTTCAAAGTTTTCCAGATTTTACCACCTCTTTCAGTTTCTTCAAAGTTTTCTGATGCTTTTACTATTGTTTGCTACAATTATTTTCAATATCATTTGAATTGATTCATGATGATGATGTTATTTGATGTTATTGGCTTGTTTAAGAATGTTTTGATGTTATTTGATGTTATTGGCTTATTTAAACAAAAAGGATGATTTTCAGAAAAAAGTCCCTTTTTGAGTAGGAATTGACAGTAATCTGAATCAGGGAGACTGAGTTGTGATTGGTTGTAGGCCAAGAGCATGCTTGATGATAGCTCAGCAAACCGGAGGTTCATCAAATTTGGTGAGGCTCATCGAGGTTGGAATGAATTCAGATTGGATCAAAGCAATCAATTAAAGCGATCTCAAAGCGATGGCCTGGCCGCCTGTGTGACGATCAGCCCTTCACTTGCTGGGTGAATGGCCAGTTCACTCTCCAACATCGACGCCGGCGTTAGAAGCCGCATGAGAATTCAATACAAAGCTGAATTGAGGGTCGACGCCGAGGTTAGAAAGCCTGACGGTTTGTTTGGCCCTCTGAGGCTATTCCTTTAGTTATATGTAGATGCAATCTGTACTAAGACTAGAGCCTGGTATTCACATGTGCCAATAGGCTGATCATGACAGATCTGTGCCAACCAGATTTCCATTTGCCCTAGGCATCTTACAGATTCCAAAGACACTGTGGTAAATTTTTTGAAAGTTATCTCCATTGAAATAGGGGGTTAGAAAAACAACTCCCAAATTTTAGTTGACAACTCCCAACAGATGTCTGTTGACAATTGTTGGGAGGTGTCTTCTAATTTGGCGGCTGGTTATGGGAGTTGTCCCACCATCTTTCATATATATATATATATATATATATATATATACCCCAATGAATTTTGTGGCTTGCCTCCCAGCTGTAATTGACTCAATATCTCTGCACTCAACTCTATCCACTCCTCTCCAAACCCCATAAATATAAATGACACAACTACACATGCAGCAACTCCCACTTGCTGCTCTCTGAAGAAGATAAAACAGAAAACTGGCCCAAAAACAATACACATATTGAAACTCTCAAGCATCAACAGTGACAACCCAAAAGAAAAGGAAGACTTGGAAATGGAGTCATTAGATTTAAATACCAGCAGATGGCAAAAAACTTAAATTGAGAGATAGGCATGACCGTGTCAGGAGACAAAAAGCAATTGAGAAGAGAAGCTGCAAATGAGAAGTGATAAAACAAGCAAGAAGAAAACCCAAGGAATCAAAACACTGGAGAGAAAAAGAGTGAGACAAAAGATCGTTTGTCCTCCATCCAATCATGACTAATTTGCATGGTTTTAATGGTTGGCTTACTCCACAAAGGTTGGTTCTGGAGGGATCTGGTTTAGCCGTCTTACAGCTGCTCACAGCTGCCACACAGTCTCCAGTCCACAACTGGAGCTCGTCCTTTGACTTCTGTGAAATTTGGTTGCAGGCCGGGGAACACAAGCTGATTGCCCCCCAGACCAAATAAAGGACTTTTTGCAGGGGGCTGTAAGACCAAAGGGAAGTCCTATTACCATCATCTTTTCAAAGTTGATTATTTCATGATCAAGCCCTACAGATACTGCATGAGTGCATTATGATTGGCTTGATAAAATATTGGAAATAGGAACACATGTCATAACCAGGAAATAAGGAATAAAATCACTGGCAAGATAATCATTCTCAGTAATAATTAGGTCTATGGTGAACCCACCTTTATTTCCGTTGATCTACATATTTATAATTATGGTATTCAAAGTTGAAATGCATGAAATCATAACCACATAAATCATAAGATCTTAAAACCTTGTTTGCAGGGGATCTTGGTAATCTGATTATGTAAGCTTTGGCTTTCCCAGCCAAAATGTTTTATGATTATATGATTTATGCACTCTATGATTTCATGCAATTCAACTTTGAATACCATAAATGCTTGCCTCGGTTCTAATGTGGCTATGATTAATCAACAGTACCCTCATAACATAGATACAACATAGGTGTGCTGCCATGCAAATTTTCGCGCAAACCTTTTTCCTTTTGCTTGGGCTATGCATCTTTGTGAGATTCGAATGACACTGGGTGCATCGGTCTGCGGTCAGTTCGATTAACCTTTACAAGATTTCTTCATCAATGAAACCGAGAAAAAAAATCAAAACCCCCTATATTAGAGAAAACTGGATAGATGTACGACCTGCAGCAGCTTGCTGCCACTGGGCCGACTTCCTGTTGCTGCAGAGCAGTTACTACAAGCTGTCCATAGTCCAGTGCGGGCCGTTTTTGGCAGGTCGTCGCAGAGTTCCAACTTCCAATGTTACAACAGAAAAATTACTTCCGGATGGTAATGACACTTTGAGCGCCAGTCCAAATCAGAACCAATTTGATGGATTCCCTGGAGGGTACTTGAAGTGTGGATGCCGTCCGGCCGTACGAGCCCTCCCGAAGGCTATGTACATGATCATGAGCTCCCCACGAAGGGTCCCCCCACCGGCATAAAAAAGTGGGGTCGGGAACAGGCCGACCTCAGCCAGTCGATTGCCGAGCGGTGGTACTGGTGCAGTCAAACATGAATGGACGGGTTTGGCCTTAAGCATGTCCATGACAGTTCCGATCGAAATCAATGCCATTCCCCTCAGTTTTTGACCGAACCACCCCGCCATTTATTGGTTAACTTCAGCCAGAATGCTATCCGCATCAGTCAAAAGCTCTTTCGGACTTCAGCCATTTCCTCGAGACGGCTGGTAATTCTGAAGCCGACTGGGCGGAAGAGCCGTCGTGGTGTCTTTGACTTTACTTCATAAACAGGCTGGCTTTCTGGGCAAACTGCTTCTTCCCACCATCCTTCTCGCTCCCTCATCAAATTACCTTTAATAATCATTCATTTCCTTCAAGACTTCCATTCGCAAAAAAAACAAAAACTCATCCAAATCTTTTAATCATGTCACCCATCATCATCAACCAAATCGTAAACCTTGAGAACCTTAAACTTACTTTTGTAAGGCCGCAAGCCTTTTACCAAACCTCGCCCGACAAATCCCCCGCTCCTCTCATCACCGCAAAGACCGTCGTCATCTTAATCGACATCATCATCGTCGCAATCATCTCTATCTTGATTCTAATGGGTTACTTCCTCTATCGTCGTCAATTACGAAGAAAAGAAAATTTAACGAAATCTTTCGAAACTTCCGAAGCGAAAATGGCTTCAGAATCGAATCACCCAGGTTAGTTATAATTGTTCCCCTAATTCTTGATCATCAAACATGAAACAGTCTGCTCATACCCTTTTCTTCTCTTTGTGTTTAATCTTCCAGCCATGGATAGCCATTCCATATGCTCATCGACAACCGAAACAAAGGAGGAATCAATCTACGAAGTTTAACACGGGAAGGCGAACCGAAAATTCCTTCTCCTAGTGGCTTCTGCAACGAACTATCCACGGACACTTCAATCGTTTTACCACATTCTTTGCAACCCACTTCAGTCTCACCATTCCAAAAGAAAAGAGTTTAGTTACTCGTTAATACCGTCATCCGCCATTCGCAATTCCTATCCACCAAGTTTCTCATCATTACCACATGCATGCTGTTAACTCTAATATCACTCGGCTCCAAATCCTTTCTCTAATTAATTTAATCAGACACTATTTTCAAACATCTTTCATTCCTTGTTGTTACTCCCTATTAGAATAGCACAATACAACCTTGATTGATTGTTATTTCCATTCACCTAAACCACTTCCTTTGACAAATGCAATGATGCATACACTCAGGATCTAATAACTGAATGCACGGTGTCAATAAAGATTTGTCATGAGATTAAATCTGAGTTGGTTAGATTTCCCCTACCTGCACACAAGTGGGAACAGCCAAAGACTTTCAAGTAGTGCATGGAG